TGAAGAATCGTTTGCTTTTTGCTCTGAAATATCAATTAGATGTTTCTTTTAATAAACTTTCCCTTTAGTATTGACAATTTCTCGATTTACATTTTTGTAAATTATAATATTTAGTTTAAAATTTTAAACAAATAATTTCAAACTGCTATTTATTTGTCAAACATAAAAGTGTCTAAACACAGTATATAATATGCAAAATGCATCGTATACTATAGAAACTTTGTTCATATTTCTTCCTGAAAAATATCTTGCAACACAATCAATTAGTCCATATGTACGAAAAATCATTTTAATTAAAATTACAAAAATGCTTAGCTTTTGGAATTGTTCGCTCTAAAATTTTGTTATTTTTCTTCCTCTGCAATAATATGTTTGAATTAAATAAATTTTATCAAGACTGTTTGTGTCTATAAAAGTTGTAAAAAATTTAAAATTTATAACATGAATCTTAAAAGAAAACGCGAGCATATATATATCTCTTTTTAAAAACAGATGGATTCAAATTCTTTCTTCATATAGATAGTATTAAAATAAATTTATTTAACTAATGTTCGATATTTAGACAAGTAGTATCTTACATTTAAAAAAAAAAATTTCCTGCTCTGTGAGCATTGGGGAATGGGGAAAGCGGAAGTATTTTTTTAAAAAAAAAAACAAAAGAGTTAATGAAAACTAATTTTTTTCAAAGTCATGTATATATATGCCTTCGGAGATATTTAAACAGGTTTTTACTTGTAAATATAATTGTTGTGACCGTTTCCGACTCTATTGTGATTCACATATTTAATTATCAGAGAGGAGACCGGGATAGCCTGGTTGGAAGGGCGTCCAACAGGTCGTGAGTGCGATCCCCGCCGTCCGAGGACTTCCCGTGTAGTAAATGATGACAGGTGCACGTTAAATCTGGTGGGTCACAAAGTCTTCACCGTTCCCATAACAAATCAATACCTCTGGGGGGGTACTGAATTGGAGATGAATTGCCATATGACTTTCAAGAGATCAAAGTGGCAACAAGAAAGTCCCATACAAGTATTTTTGTGGCTACCAAGTGACAATAAATAGTCACGGAGATTATATGATATCACAAGGTAGAGTAATATCAAAGTCACATTACGACCTTATTGGGACAATTCAAAAGGGTTACAATTGTGACCGCTGTGGCGGTTTTTGACGTTGACATCACGTTGCCGTTTTTTTTATTATGACAAACTGGGCTATCTGTGAATATCTTCACACATCTATATATATATTTCTCTTACACGGCGACAAAAAAAGCCTCATTACAACTCCCCGAATGGCAACGTTAGAAAATCGACCAGTGATTGCCGCTAAAAATGTCACATGCCAAAATCTAGCTGAGATGGCTCAACATATAGCGCTTTTAAAAACGGAAACTGAAGTAACAATTCAGCTGCGGCAATCTCATGCTATTAAGCTAGGCAGAAGTGAGTAGTCTTTGTCGATAGATCTCTATTTTAGTATTTTGTCGAAAGCGCTTTTTTTCACGAATTTATATATTACGAATTTATTTGACGATTTTTGATTTATATCACGAATTTATTTGTTTTATTATTGTTATTAGTTATTCATTGAAAAATGAGTCTCAGTCGTGCTGTTACGCTTTAAGATTTTATACTATAGCACATTTCTAATAGGTTTAACGAATTACATGTCATTTATTTGAATTTAAATTTATTTTAATGACTTAGTATTTACTAAAAAAATGTAATTTTTTTTGAAGTTGTTATATGGATTTGAATGATTGTTTTGAATTCTTAGAATTTTGTGCTTTTGCAATGTACCTAAGTTAGTAGCGAGCGAAGCAAACCATATAAGATTGCGAAGCAATTTTCGAGGGTTGGCGAGCGTTAGCGAGCAGGGGGCGCAGCCCTCTAGTATTATTAATACTATTGTACTATATACTGATAATAATATCGTCTTGCACATTTCCCATTTCTATATTTAATGTAATGCAGTAAGACATTTTAATACCAGAAATGTTCCACTGATGATCACAAAAATAAATAAACACTTCTCGCTTATTAAAGTAACGCTTTTTTTTAACTGGGAAATAAAAATATTTTGTGAATTATTACTGAAAAAAACTCATTCAATAGTTAAATATCAAATGGTTTGCAGTGTACCAAAAAAAATGGACCACCCTGAATAACTTTTGATCCTAATGATCGAATTTTCACGATCTAGGACTCAATCTCAATGGTTTGAGGGGGTGACCTCAAATATGCTAATTAATAAGTGCATAATTAAGTTACTAAAGCAGATTTAAAAACGTGCTTTCTCTGAATAAAGATACCTTTTTTTCGACGGATTCGGATTTCTGACCCCCTAAATATAGGGGGTAGACGCAATCTAGGATTTACTGTCTCAATAGTTTGGTCAGGACTCTGGAGAGCGTTCCGAAATTTAGATCCATGAACGGTAATTTTATTTTTTGTAAACTTCTCTAAATCTCGGGATGTTTTAAGTGAATTGAAAACCTTTTCAACGCAATTGCAAAATTTGTTTATCTAAAAATAATGCCATGCGAAAAATAAAATTTTAGTAGATATTTATGATTTTTTATTATTTTATTCAAGAAAGGAATAACAAACGAATTTTTTATTTAAGAATATTCTATATTTTTATAATTTTATCAAATATTTTTGAATCGTAAGGTATATAATTTTTGCAACATTTTAAAGAATATAATTTTAAATGGCAAAATACAAAATTTGAATGAAATCAGTTGAATAGTTTCTGATAAATTGAATTTCAAAGAAGTCAGATAATTAAATCAATGGGTTAAATTAGACGATATATTATATAAATTTGACCATAGGATAAATTAGACGACATATTATATAAATATAGAATATTTATTATATAAGGTGTTATATAAGTATATTAGAATAATTAGACCAAATTATAAGACACACGGTAGTTTTTTAATCATTACATGTTTTGCATGTTATGGTTGTATAAAATTTCTGAAAATGATTAAACCAGTTTTGAAAACAAACACCTTATCAGATAAGTAAGATATTAGTTACGATTNCCGATATAGGCGTTAAATCGATATGTCGCGATATATCGATTCATAGCCCAGTCCTAGTTGTGATTCAAATGATTACTTACCATAAAATGAGAAATGAAAGGGTTATTCATAATAAAATTGTTTTTATTTTATTTTATATTTGCATTAAGAGACCGAACGACAGACCCTATAAAATAACTTATTACTAGGGTTAACAGGAATTCGGACTACATAAATTTTCAAAGGATACATCAAAAATGCTTTGCCAAAACGTCTAATTTTTTGCCTCTTTCATTTAAAAAGTTGGATATTTTATACTTCTTAAATCTCGTCATGTTTAAAGCAAAAAAATAAATAAATGAATAACTCCGTGAAGCAGAAATATAAAAGGCTGAATGCAAATGAATGAAGAATATTCCATTCTTTTTTCTTCATCAATTTCGTTTCGAGCGCTTTTCTTAAAATATATCATACATTATTCATTAGTTTTAAGTTTGGACTCGTATATCAGGCACGGTATTAAAATTATAGATGCAAATGAAACTATTCTTATTTACATCAACTCCACCTATGACAATTCTTACTTCAGTTCGACAATTCGCGTTCCCAAGTAATGCCGTTTGTTCCGGGTTATTTTATAAATATTTTTTACTCTTTTCTTGTAATAAATCAAAGTATTAAAAATAAATTTTGATTTTTAAAAAATATAAGATTTTAATGCATTTGGGAATTTATAAGCTGTTGTGTTGGCCATGCAGAAGACATATTGTAAATGCTGTGTAATAGAGGAAGATTTTTAAATCTACAAAGTTTTAACTATACAATTTGTGCTCGAAAAGTCTTGTTTCTGACCTATAGATGAGCTTTAATGTTAAGAACAACTTTATTTTTATTGTTTAAATGATGCTTATACTTTTATAACTGTGTTATAATGACATTCAACTCATACTAAAAATGCATGTTTGTGGCGAATAAAATAAAAAGTCTATCATTGATATTAATAATAATTAAGTCCCGTCCCTGATCAATGGATGAGCTTTAATGTTATGAGCAACTTTATTTTTATTGTTTAAATGATGTTTATACTTTTATAACTGTGTTATAATGACATTCAACTCATACTAAAAATACATGTTTGTGGCGAATAATCTGAAAACTCTTATCATTAATAGTTTTACTTTCCTGACCTGAATTTCATAAAAATTGCAAAAAAGCGGGAAAAGGAAAATAGTACGTGCTACTTTGCTGTTTAATTTATTATACATTTCATATTTTAGAATTCAATGTTAAAAATTGTACTTATACGTTTATCAAAACACGTACTTATACTTTTCAATATACAATAATCACGTCAATACTAAGTTTACAAAATGGCTTCTGCATGTTTTATAATCATCTTATTCTTTTCTTACGAAGAAGTTTCAGGTAAATTTTTGAAACTAGTTTAAGAATTGAAGTAATATTTTGAATTTTTGTGCCCTTAAAACATTTTATAAACTCAGAAAATAGATCCTGAATCTATAAACAATTAAGTATTAATAGGCCGGGAGTACCTGGTTGGCAGAGCATTGGACTCAGGTTCGTGTAAACGGGAATTCGAATCCAGCCGACCGCAGTCTGACTAAATGGTAACTGGTGCACTTTATATTCATCAGGTCACAAGGTCCTCCATGGGTCCATAATGAATCAATACCTCTAGGGGTACTGTATTGGAGAGTGATCGTTTGCTGGTTCATGTCAAAATAAGATCTGTGAACGAATGAATGAATGTATGAATGGATCCGCCCTATAAGAGGGTGTGACGTGTGGGTTTGGCAGAAGTTGAATACTTGGCAATAGTGCCACTATAAAACTAGAAAAATCGCACCCTCTCTGCCTTAATGATCGACGACAACAACAACAACATTAATTATTAATACGTATACAAAGTTTTGCATCTGCTTATGAACGTTCTTTTTCTGTGCAGAACATCATGCGCAACCTTGTGCGACGCTACGTGACAGACGAACAGAGGAAAGCAGACAACCAAGGAGTGACTGAAGATGATGTGAATGAAATCAAACAGGACATTTCTTCCTTCCGCTACGAGATCATAGAAGTGATGAAGAACAGTGGATTCAACACATCAGCCACCAAAGAACAAGGACAGAGTAAGATCTTTATTTCCAATAGCTGAAAACACAAGGAATATCCAATGCTGTTTTGCAATAGTAACCAGGGCCTGACTTGGGCTGTGGCACACGGGGCAGTTACCCAGGCCACCCTTCCCCCCAAATCGAATAGAAAGTTTATTTTAAGTTTCCTTCTTTAATCAACTTTCTTTAAGCAAAATGTCAGTTCAGTGTAAAATCCGACAGGTTTATGTTAGCATCTTCATTAATCTATCGTCAATCTATATGTTTCGTAAATCCATGGCTTTCTAGTGCGGAATTCAGCTAAATTTTCGCAATGACGATGGACAAATTTGGCCAATCAAAAGTCATCATAACTGCGAAATTTTATCTAAATTCCGTCCTAATGTCAGCAGGGATATGGATTTTTCGCAGCTAGATGACAAAGTTAACAATCAGAAACTTGCATTCGACATGATGGACATAAAATTGTCAGAAAATTAATAAATTGGACACAACGATATTTCGTCTGACCATAGGATGGGGGGGGCGCTTAATAGCTATATTAGGTTCTCATCATTTTTCTTGTTATCTATAATGAGGTGAAAAATTTAAATACCTCTATAAAGTTCGGTTCTTCATACTGGAGTAGTGAAGCAGAGGGGGGGGGGCAAAGAAGTTTTTATCCCGGGTTCCAATTAGGCTAAGTCGGGTCCTGTGCATTGTAACAGTATTCAATGTTCTCATCGTCTTTAACACTAAACATACCAACACTTAATCTATACCTATTTCTAACATAGCCGGTCAAATAATTGGACTTTATGTTTCTTGATTAAATGTATGAAATATGGATATCAGGAAGGAAATAGACTAAAAAAAACTTTAATATAATTAAACAGAATTGTACATTGATAATTTTTATGTATTACAAACACAAAGAATAAGAATTTTTAATTCAATGCTCGACGCATTTTTTACATATGTTGCAGGGTGTTTGCATTGTACATTTTCCGTAAACATATTTCTCCTAATTATTATTATTTCTGTAATTCTTATAATTATTCCTATAATTATAAGAATACATAGGAATTATAATTATTCTTATAATTATAAGAATATATAAGAATTATAATTATTCTTATAATTATAAGAATATATAGGAATTATAATTATTCTTATGATTAATATTATTTCTCCAAAGAACTTTTACTGCCTTGATTGTTTCGACATTTTTTGTGGGCAAAATCTAACAGTTAGTTAGAAATGAAGTAAAACTATCAAAATAAAATATAAGTTACTTACCAAAACATTTAGTATTTGTCACTTTTTCTCACGCAAAAATACCAATCTAAAATTTTAGGTATTTTCTTGAAATTTGAATTCACAGTTACTCTGATGGAACTCACCACGCAACAGTCTTTGCAGAAATGTGCAACTCGTCGAATGCAATACGTTGAACACGCATTACTTTATCCGATATCTTAACCGATAACCTTGTTAGCAATAAATTGTTCTCCCGGTCAAATGACCGGTTGTGGTAGAAATGGGTATGCGACACGTATTATTCGAAACAAACAAAATACAAAATAATAATAGAATCTTAAGTGTATATAATTGTTAGGAAAAGTCATGAAGTCAAATGTCTAAAAGCAATAATATGATATGCGGATTTTCGATGCAAAAGTTCTTAAACGGTCATTTGACCGGTTATGGTATGTTTAGTGTTACAAACTCCGGGTCTCATTCCATCAGTGTGTTATGGCAAAGACTGCATCAAATAATTGAAATAACATGGACAATTGATGTAGTTAACAGCAAAAAAGGTGTTTTAATTTTTGTTTGCTAAAATAGGCTTGTCCAACTACAACACTTATAAAAGAACTTATTTTCATATTCTTCCTATTTGCATTTATTTTTAATGCATTGCATTACAATGTTAATTAATTTATAGGAGCGTAAACAAATGTAAACCGGTTTAAGTTTTGTAAAAACAATAAAGCTGTATAATATCACCTGATAATTATAATTTTACATAGAATCTTATAGTGCGTCTAATAATATAGCCAGGAATTGTATCTGTAATGATTTACGTGACCAAATGCTAATTTTATTTGCTTAAGAGCCAAAGCCCAAAGATTTGCATTACTGACTGTACAACCTAATAATTTGATAACGCAATAAGTAATTTAAAAAAAAAAAACTTTTATCGAGAAACATTATTCTTATTTGAATTTATAATTACGATTATTTGTTCCAAAATGCTACCAATCACAAAAATATTGATTTATTACAGGTTCTGCGGGAAAGAAAGGCCGCCAAAAGGAGAGAAGGCTGATGAAAGGTTTCGACATAGGCCTTGTAGAAAGTTCCTTCCAATCCACTCCTGAAGTCAGTGTAGACGATACTAACTCTCCCCCAAGTGGTCCTCGGATGGCCAAAATTGCAAGGCTGGCCACCAGAAAGAAGAAACAAGGCAAGTGGAGTCACCTGGTCGAAGCTACGAGACACGCGAAGGCGAGGTTCAGTCGAAGTAAGAGTGAAGATTCATTGAGCAGCTCGGTTGGCAAGATGGAAAGAAGGAATGATTCCACGAGCAGCAGCGGCAGTAGCATCGATCAATCGGCAGAGACCCCGGTGGACATCCCTGTCATCAACAAAAGATCACTGTTCGCCAGAAAATTGGGAAACGCCCTCAGTTCGTCCAGATTGCGACTGGCGTTTTTAGACTCTGAAAAAGTTTCTGCAAACGATAATCTTGGTGGTTCGAAGAACAAAGTGAGAGATAGCAGCGCTGATAGAGACCTGCAGGCCCAAAGGACGGTGAGTGCACCTTTCAGTCAGTGGTTGGGGACAAAGAGCAATTCACTGGACTATCTGGGCAGGTACACCAGTGACCAACACCAGCTTTCGTCCGTCAGAAGTCTGTCCCCTATTCCCAGTTGTGCCAGTTCCAATGTGCCTACTCCAAGAAGTTCCATTACTGGACAGCCGGAAACAGTTCCTCATGTCTCCCAACCGGAAGAGAGAACTTCTATTCTTCCTGGTGTTGAGAGTGTGAATTATTCTGCGAATAATTCTGGTTGGATTTAAAACTCGCCCAAGGTGCTGAAAAACTTTTTGTAAATTTCAGTTTCATCTTCTGTACATATAGAAAACATCAAAGAAGGAATGCTACTATTTCTGATATTTATCATTTTCATTTATTTATTTAGGAGACGTTTTGATAAGTTTCTTTTATATTTGATCTGTAAAATTCGGAAGGTATTTTAATGTATTGAAACATCTAACACCTGCATATCTAACAATATATAATTTTTCCCTTTTTTTGGACAGTACAATTTGATTACTGGGTAAAAAAAAAATTCTTAAAATTATTATTTTATTGGAGAAAAAAAATTATTTTCTTTAGGTTAGGAAAATAAATTTTAATTAATTTTTTTCTTTATACATTATTCTATATTTTTATGATTTGCATGGCTACTATTTTGGCTACAGTTTGAGCAATCACAATTTTAGTATAGAAGGGTTCAAAGCTCAACATAACGAAAAGAAATATTTTTAAATAAAATACATTTTTATTTATCTTTTCTTTAGTATATCCATGAATGGTTTTGTATTCACTTGTGTTGAACAAGGAAAAGAAATTTATCGCATAGGGAAACGATAGCTTTATCGAAATTCTAGCCATTCCGTTTTTAATTGAACTTTTATTTACTTTTCCTTTCCCTATATCAATTTTATTAAAAATATAAATCCATCATTCAAAAAATTCCATTTCGCTATTAAAATTAGTCGAAGTGAAAAAGATGCAAAGTACGTGCACGGTGCTAGATTTTTTCCCCCTACTACATTCTAAGGTAAATGTAGGTGCATTATAGTACAAAAATCATTTTATAAGAATTATTCAGTTAATTAAATAAACAATAGTCTTCATTATTACATTTCTAGTTAGAAATTGTTAGGAGAGAATTCTAGTTTAACCCTTTCTCTGTCAGCGTCTCCATCTCATACGCTCGGCGTTTTTGTGCACGTATGGTCGGCGTCGCATGCTATGCGACGAAGAGAAAAATAGTACTATTGAAATTGAATTTGTTGCTACTTACACGTCTCCTTAAATCCCGTGATTATTTTTGTATTTCTGAATATAGCTCAGATATGGCGCAGCTAGTCCTACTTTCTTCACAATTTTCGCAGGGAGATTGAATTGAAATCAAAATTATTTTGTACAATCTGTAATTTCGCTTTTTTAGTGTTATTTTTGCGTGTCAAAATAGTTTTAATGTAATTTTAATTATTATTTATAATAGTTATTTTATGAGATATTTATAATCAATTATAATAATTAATTATTTTAGTTATTAAAATTAACAATTATTTTATGCAGATATCTATCTTAGACACCTTAAAGCAATGGAGTTAATAAATATGTTATCACAGTGTATTTTTTAATTATAAAATTCAGGTGCATTGTAGGGAAAACTGTAGATAAATGAACGGGACATTACATATTTCACCACCAATAGGTCAAGTAAATAAGTCTTGCTGACAAAAATATTTTGTATTTTTGAATTTAGGATAGAACATATATTAATTATCAGCAGTGAAAACAAAAAATGCTTCGAAAATGGAAATTCGAAGGGAAAAAAATCCGACAGACTCGCTTCATTTTTATGATTTGTTTACTTTGGTTATCTAAATTAATTGACTTTTCATTCTCAGGAATATTTTCTGAATTCAGCAAACTTAGTCATGATGTCCTTTTTCCTTGTTTTCTACGAAAATTGAATATCTCAGAGGAATTTTACTTTTATAATGTGCCAGATAAACTAGCCATTGATTAACCAGAAAAGTTATAAAAAATAAATAACGCCCATTCAAATATTAGATACTCTACATCAAAGGAAAGAGAAAGGATATCAATCAGAGATAGTATGAATGTCATTGGAGAATTTTTACTGATGAAATAGGAATGAAGAAATTTTTAAAAAAAACAGTGCCAATTCAAAATCTGGATTGTACTGAATCAAATGAAGATCAAGGTATGCTGATTTTAAGAAGAAAAAAAGAGCTTCAAGGCTTTGATTTTTAAGAAGCAAACATTTAATTGAAATTGTGAAAATAAAAATGTATACAAATGTCACAAGACAGAAATAATAAATTTGAAAAAATAATTAATAAATTTTAAAAACGAATTGGACAAGAATCGTTTTTATTTATACTTCCTCACTAGTTTCATTTGCACTTCATCTCCATGATGTAGTAATTCTCGGGGTGAACCGATTTTCGAAGTTATTGATTTGTCGAAATCCTCAAAATGCAACAGAACTATTGATGAACCAGAGACAAAAACAGATAGTGTCAATTCAAGTTCGGGAGTGCATTATATCAAATGAAACATAAAAGAAATAAAATCTATCAGGACTTGTATGAATGTCACAAATAGATTTGTTGATGAATTAGAGACAAAGAAGAAGAAAAGAACAGATATCACCAATTCAAATACCATATGGTATTGCATAGATAAAAATCAATAGGAAATAGTATAAATAACAAATGATAAAATAGAAATTAAATAGATAAAATGAAACATAAAAAATAAAATCTATCAGGACTAGTATGAATGTCACAAAAAGATTTGTTTAATGAATTAGAGACAAAGAAGAAGAAAAAAACATCTATCACCAATTCAAATACCGGATGGTATTGCATAGATAAAAATAAATAGAAAATAGTATAAATAACAAAAGATAAAATAGAAATTAAATAGATAAAATGAAACATAAAAAAAATAAAATCTATCAGGACTAGTATGAATGTCACAAAAAGATCTGTTTAATGAATTAGAGACAAAGACAACAAAAAAACAGATAGCGGTCATTCAAACACCGGGTTGTATTGCATCAAGTGAAATATAAATAAAAATTAATATTTAAAAGTATAAATAACACACGAGGACCTAAGACGAAATAGAAGTAATAAAAATAGATAGTAACAATTCAAATTATCAATTCCATGCATAAAATTTAGAAAGAAACACTTAGAATGGAGAAAAGAAAGGCACATAACAACAATTCAATCCTTGAATTGCAAGCACAAAATCCTTGAATGAAACAGGGCTGAATTGATTTAATAGCAACCATGGTTTTACTAGATTTGTCATGTAATTGTGGGTAAAAGAAAAAAAAACCCGGTATAAGGCTCTATGCTCTCACAAGAGATTTAGTATGAGGGAGTTGCATTAACTCTTTTTTACACTGTAATAAATTTCTTGCATATTTTATAGTAACGCTTTAGTTATTTAAATCAAATGTAATAAATTTCTGATATCTTCCTTTGATACTCAAAGTTTACATCTCCGAAGCCCTACGATTAGTTTGCTATTCAAAGATATTTGAAGACATATTTTTAGATGCTTATCTCTGACAGCTATTTGACATTTAGCAATATTAAATGCATAGAGTTCAGTAATGACTACCCTTTATGCATATTTTAAAAATCCTTGGCGAAAATTAAGCCGTGGGATTCGCAAATTAAGAAACGAAATTTGTCTCATCACTAGTGACGAAAGCGAGAGGAAAAGCACAGAAATCGTACTGATTGTCTTATGACAATAAGAGATATTTCTACTGATCACCTTTCAGCTCTTTGCGAGAAAGAAGCAGATTTTGATGCTCCTAGTCCCGCCTGCCTCAATAATGATTAATTAGATTCCAAAAGGATTTTATTAATTTGCAACCCTTAAAGTGTACATTTTTTGATTTCAAGTATTTTAAACTATGCGATAAGGGTGGTCATTGCGAATTACTTTGAACATTAAGTACAAAAAGTACAGTCTACTGTTGAGCTAGTATATAGTTAGATTACTATAGAAAGATATTTATTTTGATATATATTTTATTTATTTCATATCATTAGTGCTTAGAGAACGAACAAAGAGAAACGAAATAGTTTACAGTTTCTTTATTGTAAAACATAAATATGTCATTTTCAAAAGTTTACTAGTTTATTTAACAACTTAAAATACCGATGATTATTTAATTATATTTTTCACCATGGAAAAGTAGACTGCATTGTAAACAATAGCTTCCAAGCTTTTTTAACATCCACACACATAGTTATGTATAATTAACCTAAAAGTTTTATACGTAATTTGTCTAAATTGTAAAGCAAGAGAGTATGTGAGTTTTAAAAAATTATATTGTATAATAATAATAAACCAATTTTGAGCAGAATAAATTTTTTAAAAATGTTGTATGCACTTGTTCTTGACTTTTCATATAATTCCTTCAAATGCCAATCAAAAGAATTTTCTCGTAAGGTAATAAAATAATAATTAAAGACGGATGATATTTTGCTCTTACATTTACACTTCTCAAAACCTGTTATCTGAAAGAAAATTGTGCATATTAGCTGTATGATAGGGGTGGACACTTTGTAAATTTTAAAACCATTTAATTAATTTGAAATTTTTTCGTTTTAAGGTATTGTCGAATTTTTAAATATTACTCTGTGGTGAATATGTGAGTCGATATTATTATACACTGGTGGACAAAATTAAGAGATGGAAAGCATTTTCGCACATTCATTCAACAGTCAGTTGTGATTTTTAACTTTAGTGAAATTTTTTATTATTGAAATATACTTTCATTTTTTTATTAGTGGTACACAGCGTTACGAAAAATTTAGAAACAGTACACTAAAGTCATAAGTTTGGGAAACACTGCTCTAACTAATTAAATATGTTGCAGCAAAATATCTCAGAAAGTAAAAACCATTCACTCAAAAGAGAGAAATATCATCAAATTTTGATCATTTAAAGTTAAAAAATGCACTTAAAGATTGTGAGATAAATATTTTTGTCATACGATCGCCAAATAACAACCTTGTTCCGGATTGTTCACATCCTTCTCCCAAAAATAGCGAAATAGTATCGTCTGATACAACGTGATGAAGGAGGAGCCAAGTGCCAACTCCTGGTGAACAAGCTATAAAGGCGTGTTAGTTAAATATGATATATATTATATGTATACAGGGTTATTCATAATTCCCTCCTGGGATTCGAAGCGTTATAGTAAAAAAAAAGAAGACGAATATGACAAAATGAAACATATGAAATTATTCCGAAACTATTCAAGTTTTACTTACATACATTACAGGTGTTCTGTGTGTGAACCCTTGGGGTCACACGGCATACATCAATGCAATAGTCCAGTTCCTGCCATACTCTACTCAACATGGTACTGTCTATGTTATTGATAGCACGTGTTATCCTTTCACGCAGGTCAGCTACAACACGCGGCATAAAACTTGAATACTTTCGGAATAATTTCATATGTTCTTTTTTGCCATATTCGTCTTCGTTTTTTTACTATAACGCTTCGAAACCCCGGAGGTAAGTGACTGGTAAGGTAAAGTGATAAAAAGCACGAAATTGCTAGCCCCGAGGGTCCGGGTTTTAAACCCGGACAAGGTCAAGATTAAAGATAGATAGAAAGGAAACAATTTTTTTTGTTTGTTTACAATACTATGGGGTAAAATATTTTTTTTCCTTCCATTTCTAGGTGCGTAATATATAAAATCGAATAAATTGCTGCTTCTATACTGCATAGATTTAATGACCCCCTTGCCTCCCCTTAATCTATAACATTCAAACTCAGTCAGGTATTATACTATAACATACTATGGTACCATACCAAAGGAAATAATAATAAATAAATCAGGGGGCCGACAATGTGGTGCAATATTTTAGCATGTATGTATACATTTCAAAGTTCGTATGATAATAAAACAATTATTGCCTAAATCCTGTATATATATATATGATCTATTATCTAACATTAATATTAACCTAAAATCTTTAAACTCGATGAAATATGATATTTTAGTATAATACAATTCTGACCAAAGGAAATAATCATAGACAAATTAGGGGACCTAAAGGGGAGGCACAATATGGCTGCATTAAAAAAGAGTGAGTAAGCACTTGATATAAGAGGCAAAGCCGTGTTTGGTTGCGATAAGAAGCAACAAATAGCTTGACCTGTCTGTCCGGAGTTCGAATCCCGTTAATGGTCAATATTTAAAAAATTGTATTTCATAAATTTCTTAGCTTATTTTTTAATATTGAAACTTAAATAAAATACTCCTTTCCCTTAATCTTTATTTTTCTTTTTTATAAAAGCTTAAAAATGGAAATTGTTGCTCATATGCTATGCATATAAAGGATACCATATCTCCCCTAATTATTTACAAATAATTTTCAAACTCGTCCAGATATTATTTTATGATATGTTATACAATCGTATGAAAGGAAAGAATTATAGAAAAAATAAGGGTGCCACGAGGGGGCACGATATGATTTCATTAAAAAGGTGAGGGAAAGCACTTTGGTGACAAAAGAGTGTCGTGGCCACTGAAGTTACGTGATAGGAAGCAACAAATTACCGGAGCTGAGGGTCCGGGGCTCGAAACCCGTTAATGTCAACATTTTAAAAATTATATTTCATAAATCGTTTTTTATTTATTTCGAAATATTGAAAGGCAAATCATATATTCTTTTTCTCAGGAAATATTTTTTCTTTTTTATAAAAGCAAACAATAGCTTAAAAAAGGGGAAATTGTTGCTCATATGCTATGCATATAAATGATACCATAACTCCCATTAATATTTACCTATAATTTTCAAACTAGACCAGATATTATTTTATGATATGTTATACAATCGTACCGAAGGAAATAATTATAGACAAACTAAGAGATCTACGAGGGCCACAATATGGCCTCACTAAAGAAGCGCTGAAAAGATCTTAAAGAACCTAATTATGGTTATTCAATGAAACCTATTTTGGCCTATTATGGGCCCGTAATAGATCAATAACAATTTTGAGCAGAGTTTGAAAATTATAAGCTAATATTAAGTGGAGTTATGTAGTGAGTCGTGTGCGTTGCTCCGGAGTCGAAATTTATTCATTTTTCAGCTAATATTCCCTCTATCCCGTGGAAAAATAATTATTTTTTTATATATAGCACTTTATTCACGTTGAAATATCGAAACAAAAATTTAAAAAAAAAAATAAAGGAAATAAAAATAAAAAATAAAAATTAATCCGTGACCAGGACCGAACCCCTGACCACCGAGTCTTCAAACTTCTTTACCCATGGCGCNTACAACCTTCTATACACATGGCACAAACATCCACACCACGATTCACACGTTACTTCCCCGAATCTATAGCTTAAAGAACTTCCTTCCGGTTAATTTACAAAATCTATTTTGGCCCATTATGTGCCCCCTAATTAGTGTATAAAAATTTTGTTGGATACGATTGTTTAGTATATAAAACTCTAATTTCTGGCAGAGTTTGAAAATTATAATTTAATATTAGAGGGAGTTACGTAGTGAGTCATGTGCGTAGCTCCGAAGTCGAAATTTATCCGTTTTTTAGCTAATATTCTCTCTTTCATAAAGAAAAATAATAATTTGATATATATAGCACTTTATTCACGTTGAAATATCGAAACAAAGATTTTAAAAAATAAAATAAAGTAAATAGAAAAAAAAATTAAAAATTAATCCGTGACCAGGACCAAACCCCTGACCACCGAGTCTACAAACTTCTTTACCCAAGGAGCAAACAACCACACCCCGATTCACACGTTACTCCCACGAATGTATAGCTTAAAGAACTTCCTTCCGGTTAATTTACGAAATTTATTTTGACCCATTATGTGCCCTCTAATTAGTGTATAAAAATTTCCCTTAGTACGATTGTTTAGCATATAAAACCCTAATTTCTGGCAGAGTTTGAAAATTATAAGCTAATATTAAGTGGATCCCGAAGAAAAATAATTATTTTAATATATATAACACTTTATTCACGTTGATATATTGAAAAATAAATTTTAAAAAATGAAATATAGTAAATAGAAAAAAAAATTTAAAATTAATCCGTGACCAGGACCGAACCCCTGACCACCGAGTCTACAACCTTCTTTACACATGGCACAAACAACCACACCACGATTCGCACGTTGCGACCACGAATCTATAGCTTAAAGAACTTCCTTCCGGTTAATTTACGAAATATATTTTGGCCCATAATGTGCTCCCTAATTTGTGTATAAAACTTTCCCTTGGTACGATTATTTAGCATATAAAACCCTAATTTCTGGCAGAGTTTGAAAATTATAAGTTAATATTAGAGGGAGTTACGTAGTGAGTCATGTGCGTAGCTCCGGAGTCGAAATTTATCCGTTTTTTAGCTAATATTCTCTCTTTCATAAAGAAAAATAATTATTTTGATATATATAGCACTTTATTCACGTTGAAATATCGAAACAAAAATTTTAAAAAATAAAATAAAGTAAATAGAAAAAAAAAATTAAAAATTAATCCATGACCAGGACCGAACCCCTGACCACCGAGTCTACAAACTCCTTTACCCAAGGCGCAAACAACCACACCTCGATTCACACGTTACTTCCACGAATGTATAGCTTAAAGAACTTGCTTCCGGTTAATTTACGAAATCTATTTTGGCCCATTATGTGCCCTCTAATTTGTGTATGAAAATTTCCCTTGGTACGATTGTTTAGCATATAAAACCCTAATTTCTGGCAGAGTTTGAAAATTATAAGTTAATATTAAGTGGAGTTATGTAGTGAGTCTTGTGCGTAGGTCCGGAGTCGAAATTTATTCATTTTTCAG